CTACGTTTCGTTGAGTTCGGCAGTAATAGTATTTCCATTCTTCCTGTTATTGTTCGCGAAGCGGGGGGGAGCGGTGAGGAAGACGACGAATGCGCGCCCGAAGCTTTGCCGAGTTTTGCCGAAGCACACGCTGCATTGGCGAAAGTGAAGTCGTTCTTTTATGCGCTTAATATTAGTGAACGTGACGAAGAAAACATTTTGAACGTGGAAAGTGCTCTGTTTGGTCTAAAACGTAAAGTTTCGACAAACCAGTTGTCCATTAAAGACTTTTTTGTTAAAAAGAAGTAACTTTGAAAGAGAAACATTGTTTTTTTTTAAATTTTTAATGCTTTCCCGCATCTATCGTTTTCCCGCATTCATTGTTTTTATTTCCCACCCCCGCCGAAAACGATGCATCGAGGTTTCACTGTAATTGACATGGAAGGCAACTTGTTAGAATTAGAAACCAATCTATAATAAAGAGAAAATTTAAAGTAGAAAAAATTAAACTACAAAGCACATAAAGTATTTCAAATGTGGTTACCTACAACAATCCTGGAAAAATGCAGTTTCTTCTGGTATTCAATACAAGAACATGCTACAATACTTAGCAAAGTACACATAAGAGTATTAAAATGCTTAGCTGTAAGATCCCAAATCTCCAAAAATAATGCAATTTTTTTGACAAATAAATAACATTTTAAACCACAAATTACAAAATAACAGTGTGATAAGAAAAAAATATTGGGTACTTATCATATAAATTGCACATCTTTATCATTTACTTATAAAATATTATTTCTAACACATATTCAGGGTTCACTGAAGTTTGTAATAATATTTCTCTGCTTAATAATGTTTGCAACCAGAAGAAATGACATTTCTAGAGTATTAAGAAATTAACACAAACGAATAAACTTCAAAACCAGACCATTCATCAAGATAGTGAAAGTGTAAATATTACCAGATATACCAATGAAAGTAAGGATGCAATAGCATTTGTGTTACATACGAATGATAGATATCCCTTCACCGCACAAATATCAAAATTATATACATGCAGTTGGGGGGACCAAGTGAGAGAAAAAGGTATAGGAAACAGAGCAGGGGAAGTGTGGACACAGATATAAGACAACTGCTAATAGGACAGAAAATAGAGGAGCTTTAACAAACAAATTGGTGGAAACATAAATGGATCAATTTGGAAGAACAAACTGATTTAAATTATCACCCTCTATTAATAATAATCAGATATGAAACCTAACAAGCAATACAACTATTGCATATGTATAGTGTGCTTTATGGGTTGCACACATTTATAAAAGATCCATACCTGTCAACAAGTTGTTCACACACATTCTCCCAGCGATTGGTGAGTCGACTCACATCTGCCTCAAGCCTCTCTACATCCGAGTGAGGGCCACGATGAGTGGGTCGAGACTTCTCCACTAGCCGGCGTGCATTATGTACATCCTCAGTCAGCTGATCGATGACGATCTGTTGCTGTGACACTGAATTCTGGAGATTCAGCAAGTCTTCATGAACCTGAACATATATAATGCACATAAGGCTTGACAGAAAAGTACAGCTGTGTGTAACAGCTTACAGCTTCACTGCCTCCATCTGAAAGCAAAGGCCAAAATTTAAGTTTGTAGAAATGAAATATTACCGTAATTTCAAAAAGGATTTTCTAATATAAGCATGAGAAACAGATATTTTATCACACCAAATTTTATATAATCAAACACAATGATTCTGAAAAGTTAAACACCAACCTACATTGCTTCCCGTTGCAATTTTATAATCATAGTTACTTCACGGGAAGCTTCATACTGTAAAGATCATCAAACATTTTAGTATTTGTAATAAAATTACACTAGTTAAAATCTCTAAATATCTTGTTCCAATCTTCTCTCATACCGTCTTATTCTCAAAATCATAATCACTTCGGTAATCTCAGCGTGATTCACATCATCCATGTTTTAGCTACACATGTTAAACATGCTGTTACAAAACAGCAAAATTACCTTTTAATATGATCTGACATTGTATAGTATTTTCCATCTTCATAATATAACTTTTGTTATTTGTTAAAATTAACTGTTGCTTCTAACTCTTTCTGTTAACTTGTATTCGTGTCAGTGTCCCCCATATGCCCCCTCGAGTAAATGCCTAAAAACACGAGGAGACGGAGGCTAAGGGCGGAGTATTCCCTTAAAGTTTAAATTATGGGCTGGAAATGGTAGTAGCGTGGAAGAGATATGGGAAAGCTATAAGGATATAGTCTTCGAGGGTATCGATCGTTTTGTACCTCAAAGAATCCTGAGTAAAAATCCGGATCCGGAATATTATACCAAGGAAGTGAAACGTCTGAAGGTAAAGGTGAGGAGGGTTTATAATAAGAGAAATTCTGGAGGGCAGTACCAAGCGGAGCTGAAACGGTTATCCAAGGAGTTGCTGATAGTAAAAAA